GTGTGTATATATACCTCCTCTTCTGGAATATTTTCAGCACAATCCTTGCTCCCTTCGACATATTCTGCGCCGATTATCCCAATAACCCGCAATTCCATTTCTGACAATTCAGATTGTTTGATAGACTTGTTTCCTGTCATTGCCTTAGCTTTTCTTAAATCGCGTGCTTTGGTAGAAGTACGACTCTTCAAGTCTCTCCATACCTAAATATGTAAAATTACTTTTTATATTATTTTTCAAACATTAGTACGAAAATCGGACTGTGAAATGTTCTAATAACAAGAGAAAGGTCATATGATCACAACGGATCTTGATACTTAATATTTTTACGTGAATCCTATTATTTCTAGTTCAAACAAGCGTGTCAAATATTTGTCAGTCTTGAAACACAGTTTAGAACTCAGTTATAACTGAGTTTCAAGATTCACAAATATAACTTATAGCGCACAGTGCATTTGACTGAAAATTGCAAGATTTACGTAAAAATTATTAAGCACCAAAATCCGCTTGACATATTAAAATATCAACGTTTTATGAACTGCAATGTTCATGAAATATTGGCATTCTAATAGATTTATACACGGAGATGATAACTCGCAAAATACAGCTTCTGAATATATTACACACGTACCACTTGCCATTGTTCGGCAGTTTTCATTGCTCCTTGAACATTATTCAATTCTGCAGCTAGTTCTGCCCACTTTCTTTGTGTCTCTTCTTTTCCATGTAATGAATTAAATTTTCCTTCTGCAAGACCTTTGTTTAAGTAAAAGAAGTCCAACATTTTTGTGTACTGCAATGGTGTTGTTCGAGAACTTCGTGCTTTCTTGCTATAAAAATATAAAGCGTGTAATATAACAATTATTTCATATTTTCCTCTAGTGGAAAAATATTATTGAATTAGTGCAAAAACTATTAGAACGAATAGTGTACAATATTAGATGTTCTCTCAAACGTTTCTTTAATTTTTTCCAATCAAATTTTCACGAGTTCAATAATATTCTTCCATTATGGATATTTTGTCGTATTTTCTATTTCTAAAATACTTCGAATAAATACTTACACTGCCACATTTTGGGCCATGTTTTCCGTTCTTTTAATAAAAATATCGGACAATACACTAATAAAAATATATTAATATCATACAGAAACGGATCTTTAGATCCAGTGAACTTGGAAAGTTGGAAACAGTTGAATAACCATAAATTTTTCATCATAGCCATAAACTTTTTTGAATAAAGATATCACACTTCAGCTCCATTTTCGTCCGTGTTCGTAAACTCTACGGAAAATTACTAGATTTTTACTAGAAAAAAAACTGCGACGTTGTCAAATTTACCAAATCGCTACCGAGTTTTGTCGATACGTCTGGAACGATTTTGCATCGATAAATATCGTTAAGGTAAAGTTACGGAATCACGCCATATCGACATCGTCGATAGTGCAAGCGATAAAAGTTGATAATTAACGACAGCGACAATCGTCGATAGGAAGTTAGAGAATCCCGGTACTGAGCTCTATGTCGAAACGCTAGCTGTTACCCGTATGAGGATCCGGGCTTAAGTTTTTCTATGTGCCAAGACCTTAAGTCTGGATCTACAATATAGCGTTTTCGAACCGATCGGGTTTGCACCAACCTGGGTTGGATTAATCTTTCCTATTGGTTGACGTCACACGCTCTACCAATAGAAGAGCGCAAAACGCCATTAATCCAACCCAGGTGCAAACCCGGCCGGGTCGAAAACGCTAATGCTGGATTCACACTGCATCCGATTTGCGTCGTACGATGCTCTGCAACCCAACCAGAAAACAGGATTCCGATGGATTTTGCTTCATATCATTGGAATTCTGTTTTCTGATTGGTTGAAGAGCTTCGTACGACGAAAATCGGATACAGTGTGAATCCAGCATAAGGGCTGCCGCACACACCTTCTGTAACAGTAACCATAAGACATACCATAAGAATTAGCCAATCACAGTCGAGAATTCTTTTGGACTCTCAAGGTATATCCACACAAACTTGCATAACCGCATAAACGTATGCATAAAGAAAATTATCCAATCACATTTTATGTACGACTTTAAAAGAGAACTGCAATTTGATAATTTTCTTTATGTAAATGTTTATGCGGCTATGCAAGTTTGTGTGGATATACCCTTAATTCTGATTGGCTGATACTTACGGTACGGCTTATAGTTAAGCGGGGAGCACAGACTCTTGCATAACGCATAACACGTAATGCATAAAAATATGTACCAATCGAAGTTCTCCGTTTCTTTCCCTTCCATGTAATAGAGAACTCTGGTTGGTTCAATTTCTTATGCCTCATGTGTTATGCGTTATGCAAGAGTCTGTGCTCCCCGCTATACTGTTAGGGCCATTCCACACAAACTTGCAGAGCCACATAACCATATGTTGCATAAAGAAAATTATCCAATCACATTTCTGTCATAAAGCCAAGCGTAAACTACGATTGGATGATTTTCTTTATGCATGTTTATGCGGCTATGCAAGTTGTGTGGAATGACCCTTACGGAAGGTGTATGCGGCAGTCCTGATATGTAGGTTTTAAGTCTTAAAGCCCTGCACACAATGGAGGAAATATTAGGTCTGTTCTTTATGGCTGAACTTTTGCACATCTTTCTTCCTCTTCTTTCCTCCTGAAGAGAAAAGGAAGAAAGATGAACCGGTGCAAAAGTTCAGCCAAAAAGAATAGGCCTATTAGGGCCTGCGCACAATAGAGGAACAGGAATTAGATATTAAGATTTCAACCTATCAGAAACTGATTACATCGGAATACACGATTTCTGATAGGTTGAAATCTTAATATCTAATTCTTGTTCCTCTATTGTGCACAGGCCCTTAGGAACAGAAATAGATATTGTTTTTTCGACAAGATGATAAATACTCTGTCTTCAAAAATGGAGAAGCTGGTTTTCGACTCTAGAATAGCATGGAAAGCATTAAATGGAATATTTGCCGTTTACAAACCACCAATGGTCACGTATTTAGGCGTACGGGATACTATAATTCATCGTTTATGCGAAGGTTAGAATATCCTTATGTTTTGAAACTTATTCTTATCAATATTCTATAATAATTGATAAAATTATTTCAATGTAAGAAGTGACGAAATAAGACTCTTTAATATTAAAAATAAAGGTAATTATTCAGAATACCTCCCTCACCTCCGATTTCGATAAAATTAGGCTCATTCGACGCGTTTTTGCATGAAACGAAAGAATCTGGCAGAAAAAAGTGTCGCTCTGCCTCGCGAACCGAGATATTTAGCGTTAAAGTTGACGACTATGGAGGTTAGGAAATCTGTCATACCGACTATGTGTAATAAATTAAACGTATGTAGTAGTGTCTAGACAGTGTCCGCTTGGAATATTTGTAACCCATGTAGACAGTGGGGTATGCGAAGTCTTTTTAACTAGACAGTAGAAAGATCGCGTTCTCACACCCCACTGTCTACATGGGTTAGAAATATTCCAAGCGGACACTGTCTAAGCACTACTACATACGTTTAATTTATTACACATAGGCCGCGGTCCGATACACGCTCACAACGCTTAAAAATCATTTCATCCTTGTTGTTTGTCAAATGTTAAACGAAGACAAACAATGCTCATGAGCGTTGTCAGCATGATTCGGACCACGGCCATAGTCGGTATGACAGATTTCCTAACCTCCATAGTCGTCAACTTTAACGCTAAATATCTCGGTTCGCGAGGCAGAGCGACACTTTTTTCTGCCAGATTCTTTCGTTTCATGCAAAAACGCGTCGAATGAGCCTAATTTTATCGAAATCGGAGGTGAGGGAGGTATTCTGAATAATTACCAAAATATAAATAAGGAAAAGTACACTGGCAATGAGAGTTAAGCGCAGCCATTGTTTCAAGCTCCACTTGGAAAGTTATATGTATGCCTCTCACAATGGTTGCAAAACCAAGTATTATTTCATGCTTTTTAAAATTCAATTCCTCCTTGTTTCTTTATTCCCCCAAGCAATGTATTGTTTTATTTTAAATATAAAATAATGTAACTGAAAGAAGCATCTCTCTCTCTCTCTCTCTCTCTCTCTCTCTCTCTCAACGCTATATTTTTTATTGTTATGTATATTTGTTCTGACATGACTCCCTTAATAACACACTTTATCCAGGATACATCCTGAGGATGTCCTTAGGATGTTCAAAGGATATACGGATGTCCTTTGGACATCCTTAGGACGTCCCCTGGAGATCTGTGTTGTTAGGGTCATAATTTTTATTCTTTGTCTTTTTCCTTTTTGTCATCTTTAATTATCATTTAATTTTTTGTATTCACTTATGACAGTTCTTCCTGAATTATTTATTTTGATTTGGTTAAAGTAAAATTTATGTTTGTTCTTATTTGGTACTTTATTGCTTACTATTTTATTGCTTGTTTGCACCTTCTTATTTTTCTTTGTAGTATTATTCCAAGTAGCACATAACGTGCTTTGCAGGTGCTGATGTGCTACTTGGAAAAGAGCACATCAGCGCTGATTTTATTATTGATTTTATTATTAAAAAAAAATATATAAACTATGTCAAAAACAATTCTTAATTTCTAGATTTAAACAGTATGCGTATACGTCGACCAATCAAACATGTCTGTATAGAAGGTGATACAACTAAGACGATGAAAGTATTTACACATCCGAGCTATGTGGATCATCCATTAGTCGTAGGTCCACGATATCAACCTAAAGACTTTGTATTGATATGCGCTAATTATCTGAGCAGAGATATGTCTGGTCTCATGGTCTGTGGCATTAATGGTGGTGGCAAATGGGTTCATAAATTGAAAGAGTCCAAATCTCCAACTAGTTATAGAGTTAAAGGCCTCTTAGGACAGGCAACAGACACATATTTTATAACTGGAAAAATTGTCGAGAAGTCTACATATAAATACATTAAGCGGGATGCAATTGATAAAATATGTGCTTCCATGCAAGCTGTTCATCAGAGAAAGATGTTTGAGTATGTTGTATGATAGATGTACAGGGTGTCCCAACCTTTTTTACCAATCACTTTTGTGTAGATAAAGCGGACTAAACTGAGTCGAAAAGTCCTCTACTATTTTGCAATTTTCGCAATAGTTAACAAGATATTAATTATTAAAAATTGCAAAATATTGGTCTTAAATAATTTTTTACTCAAATACT